CGTGCGTAATTTCATTTCCTGTAACATCACCCCCCTCCTACCCGGCTGGATAATGCACTTCTAGTTGAGGTTAAAATCAAGGCAATTTGTGAGACTGGTGTGTTCTTATTGAAACTGGTATTTTCCTGTGTTTAGTTTTTTTTTAAGTTAACTAATTAAAATTAATTCCTTATTGGTCGGATAGCCATGACGCAGACAGTAAGTGCAATACCAACAGCTTGCTGGACTAAATGTTAACACAACAGCATCTACATCACTGTAAACAAACTAACCACGGCATCCACTCTGCCGAACACCACTATAGTCGAGTCGCCACTCCCATAGGCCCAATAGTCGAACCCTGCAATGTTCTTTCCTGTAAACTTTTTTTGCTGAAATGCATTCTTCAGGCCGAGAGAAGCAAAATTAGCTTGGTTGCTATTTCCGAGACCTTGAGCATTTTTCAATATGGCCGTCAATTTATGAGGAAAAATAGAAAAACGACCAGAAGTCGCCGGGTAAACTTTATTGACAGCTTTTTTGAACGTGTATCCTATCAGGAGAGGACAACAGTACTATTGAATACGCTTAAGCGCGTACCACTTAGCAAAAAACCAAAATGGCCGTCAAAACATAAGGCAGAAAATGATAAAAGCTGCAGAATCAGTTTGTTTTTTGCATATTTATTTTTATTAAAACCATATGCCCTTTTTATATTTATGTTAATTATAATATTTTGTTAGTCATGACCTGAAACTCTTGGAATAAGCTTATCTGACAGTTCAATAACCCCCAAGAGTCTGTTTGCTACTTCTCCGGGTTCCATAGTCAAATACTTAAAATGTTATTCCCTGAATTTTTAAAAATAATTTTACACCTTGGGAGTATAAAAGCCAATTTCATTTGGGCTTTCTTGGCAGTGGCTAGATATGGAACATTGATCAATTTTCAAAATTCAAGATGGCCGTCAATAATATAAAAAATATATTATAATATCATTATATTATAAATGAATAATTATGTTACATAGCAATGAGTCGGGTTTAAAGTGCATGGTATTCCACATTTCAAATGACCGCTAAAACATGCCCCAAAAAGGTAAAAAAAGCAGTTAAATTACGTTTTAAACTGATTATTCGGCGTATAATAAAATATATCCAACCCTGTTATTTATTGACAAAGTGTACTTGTAAGGTACAGTTATACTAAGACTCTATAAAAGAGGATCATTGATAGGACTGACCATTACGTAAGTTCTCTTTTTAATACAGAAAGTTTATCAAGGGCCAACGGGGGGTTCTGCAGGAATTTGGGCACAGGGAGTTCAAAATTTTAATCTGCAATCGGGACTCTTATATTTACATGGAGTCCAACCAAGTCCGTTGGTGGGGACGGGGGGGTGGGAGGGGGGGTGAGTGTTATTCAATTTTACTTGTCAAAATATTAACCTTCTTATTTTTTTCGTTTTTTTTATTGATCATACCTTAATATTTTAATTTTATATCTTTATCATAACTTTTTCAGTATGTACATAAAATTTAGCTTAAAACTTCCCATTCTTTTTATTGAGATTGGCACGTGTAAGAATATTTCATCAGTATGTAACAGCATTTCTAGTTTTTCTTATTACTGCACTTTTTCACTTTACATTTTAAAGAGTCAATAAGCAAAACATCTTACAAATATTTTGGTTATACATGTATATACTGACAGCCATTAAAATCCTTGAGGCCATATTTTTGAAAATAATTGTTATTTTGAAGCTCTAAACTGGATTATTTCCATACGAATCATTTGTTTAGGACATTGGTATACAGAACCAAAAATCTTAAGTTTTATGAATATTTTCAAAACAAAAATGGCACCAGCCCAACACAAAGTCACAACGGTCAATAGCCGGTACGATCTCCGCTTGCTTCGATGCAGGCGGCGATCTGTTGTCGCATGCTCGGGCAATAAATGTGGATGGGATGGTGTCGTGTGGAATCCTATTCCAGCCTTGTCGTAGTGCCTCGATCAGCTGCTGCCTTGGCCAACGGACGGCCAAGATATATGTAGTACCAGATGTGTTCAATCGGATTCACATCCAGAAAATAGACAGGCCGGGGTAGGACATCCACCTTTGGGACCCCAGATACACTTGGATCATTTGTGCCGAATGGGAACGGGTCATGTCCTGTTGGGAAAAAGTGATATCAGTTTTCTGCTGCATGAACGAGGTTATGTGAGGTTGCAGGATCTGATCTATGTAGTGACGAGCAGGTATGTTGCCATCAACGACCACCATCGGCTGACCGAGTGTCGACGCACAGTGGGGCTGCTGTTCCGGTTGTTGTTCCTGCCGGGTGCCTCTTGTGCTGTAAGACTGGCATGGCGAAACTGGTTCCGTAGCTGATGCAACCTGGTGTAGCGATCCTTGTCTGGAGTTGTCACTCTCTGCGGTATATCGCTAACAGAGCCAGGCATGTTGTGGCATTTTACCAGGTTCCTGATTGTGGGTTGGGAACAGCCCATACATTCTAGCTCAAAGCAGACTCCCCTCACACCCAGTGCTCAGAGATGTACGTTGTTCACATGATAGACATGGCATGATTCCGTTCACTGGAATAACAACATGGGTGGCCGGGTGGCCTGTTTTTGGTGCAATGAAGCATGGCAACATGACAACTCATCATTGTCTTAACTACCCGAGCACTAAGTCATCAATAAATGCACAATGAATAATTACATCTACCCTACAAGTAGAAAAATGCATACATTACTATCTCAAAGCTTCCATTATCTGTAAGTATATATTGGCAAAAACAACATTTCGAATACATGATGTCGATGGGTAGCCCTCGCATATCCCCGCACTATGTCACGTTGTCCAGAATAGCTGACCTCATGGGCCCTAACCTCTGGGTTTGTATACCCCTGCTTGGATCTCGGTTATTTATAATAAAATTCATTATTAAACAACAAAAATGCCTTTACCCATAGCTGTTAAAATATTTAAAAAGTTTACAAAAAAGGATAAGAATAATCCAACCTGAAGAAAACGATTTGACGCCTTTTTTCAAAATGATTTTGTTTACACATACTAGAATGATAATTCCTTGCATTAATTTTTGATTTAGAATGAAAAACTAGTTGTCAGGACTGAGATTTCCGCAATCAATGTTTGGTTTGATCATAGAGCAGCATTGACGGACATATTGGTTTTCGTTTTTAGTATCATTTAACCTAAAATATGTTTTATTGTGTGCTGTGTCTTGAACGCAGGTATAGCGTTTTTCACTTTATATATGTATTTATATTTGTTCCAGTTAAAGTCTATTTCAGTTAAAAGCCTTGTAGTTTTACAGTTGTTTATTTGCCCTTTCATTATGTTTTGGAGGCCATTTTTATTAAAATAACTTGCAAAATGAAATAAATGATCGCACTTTGCATGAATAAAATATAAATATGCAATGATGAACAATGGAGTGAAGCATTAATTTTTTATTTGAATGTATGGCTCTCGCTATTCACATAACAAATTGATGGCCATCTTGAATTTTGAAAAATTGTAAATATCTCGTAATATAAGCTTCTCTTACTTTTGTAACCCAGATGAAACAATTTCTTTAAAAAAACTTGCAAGATATAACATAGCAAGCTTTGACTATGGGGCTCGTCGGAGTGGCAAATGGACTCTCAGGAGATGGCACCGTCTGCCACCATCTGATTAATGTCAAATAAGTAGTTTCTGAGAGTTTAGGATCATGACTAACAAATTATCATAATAGACATAAATAGAAAAGGCGGAAATGTTTTTAATAAGACTTAATTTGCAAAATAAGAAACTAATTTTGCAGCTGTTTTTACTTCCTGCCATATGTTTTGACGGCCATTTTGGCTTTTTTGCTATATGTAACGGGCTTAAGTGTATTCACTAGTACTGTTGTGCTCTCCTGATAGGATACACGTTCAAAAAAGCTGTCAATAAAGTTTACCCGGCGACTTCTGCTCGTTTTTCTATTTTTTCTAATAAATTGACGGCCATATTGAAAAATGCTCAAGGTCTCGGAAATAGCAACCAAGCTAATTTTGCTTCTCTCGACCTAAAGAATGCATTTCAGCGAAAAAAGTTTACAGGAAAAAACATTGCAGGGTTAGCGTTCTGGCTACTCGACTACTATTCTATATGTATACTATATATAATTAAGTTACAATACTATAAAACAGGTAATATAATCTTTATTAACTATTGCTGTACTCACCATGTCCCTAATTTTCGGTGACTATTTAGACGCTCTTGAAAATGTTTCTCTGGTTTGATCTCTTGGTACACCTTTTCGGTTGACCAGAAAAAGGACAACTGAACAGCGGCTTAGTGCAGTATTGAAATTAAATACAGTTCTTAAAAAATGTTGGTGTCAGCGTTTGGTTTGCGTTACTACGAGCACTGGCACGCGTGATAGATGATATGGGCGTTTTTTATATATAAACTAAACCGTCACACACTATACAGAGAAAAAATATATAAAGATATGTAGAATGAACTGAGTTTTAAAAGCGTACGGTTTAATTGTTCTTGGTCTGCTCATTCAATTTTGCTATTTCTCCTTGCTATTCACCCCATCTCATCGATGAACTTAAACTTNTAAAAAGCATACCAACAAGAAAGAAGCTTGATGATCCGACCATGTTTGATTGATGAATATCAGATATGCTTAATTAACTTACGACTCTAGTACATGTACAGTACGTGTAATGTGTAAAACAGTATAGAATGGTGATGTTTTGTCAATCAGATTTATTGAGACTCATTTCATCCTTGCAACATGCCATCAACTAATATACAGGCTTGACAATCTGAGGATCTTTGCCCTGGAGGGCATTAACACCCCGTAATACTGAATTTAACAGGTCCATCTTCTAAATATTGAAAGATGAAGATGTACAAGCAAGTTTGAAAGTTTCATTACCATAAAGAATCTTTAAAAGATTTCAATATTTTATTCAATTTATCATTCATAGAAAGAATCCATGTAAGCATGGAAGAGGTTAGACAGGCTTTAGAAAGCCCTGCCCCACCCAGCTCCAGGTCTGCGTCTCCGTCTTCTCCAAGAATGAGGTCATCTCCTCGCTACTCAGCCAAGAAAAAAACTGGCCTGGATCCAAGGACAAGGTCTTCCAGCAGTAGAAGCCCTAGAGGGCATGACAGCCAGGAATCACATGAATATCCCCAGCGACGTCCTGGCAGTAGAAACAGCAGTGAAAATGCAGAAAGAATCACAGGAAGACATTATCATCAGCAGCAGCCCCGCCATCGGCCACGTCAGGGAGGTCATCAGCTCAAGGGGAGGAAGCCAACATCAGGATCTTCACGGTAATAACTGTACCAAAGATGAGTGAGGATGGCTGTTTTGATAATCTGTAGAGTTTTTTTCACCAAAACTAGAGATCTGACAAATACAGATATTTTTATTCACTCTTATATGGTTTGCTCATTATAACTTTTATAATTCACTCCACTCCACATTGATAACATTTATAGAAATTTTAGAAAATTATTATAAATCACATTTTCATGTCATTTAGCAGGATTTCTGGTCCCAAGCAGCCATTCAATGACCTGAGTTATAAAGCTGCAGTGGACAGGCTTAGAGACATGCTGCAGCAGTATGATTCCACTCACAGCCCTCTCACACGACCAAAAACTGTTCACTTTGAGCCCAGTCAGGTGAGTAGATACACCCTGAGTTTCAGTGTCTTTTTGAGAACTTACCTTTGTAACCAATACCCTTGATGCTGTTTCCAAACTCTTTGAATTCCATTTTTTTAAACTTACTTTTAGAGGTCTGTGTTTATTTTGAACTTAATTTTATCTGTGTTATTATAAATCTTTTAACTTTTAATTTTAATTACAACTTCAACCTTTTGGTTGCAATAATTTTGAATTAACTTTTTATTATTATTAAAATTTACAGATTTCACACCAGTTCATTCCTAGTCCAGTGTACAAAAAGTCAGATCTGCCAAGAGTGGAGGAAGTGGTACCAATAGTCCAACACCAGTCTAATTATATCAAACAACTGGAAGCTGAAAGTCAATTTTGTAAAGTATGTTTTTTCTGGATTTGCTTGTAATTTAGAGTAAAAAATGAGTGAAGAGGAGATATGAGAATGGGTTTGCTAACCTGAAAATGTTGCTGCTGTTTTGGTTGAATTTAAGAATCTATATACATTGCGGCAGTTGAGAAATTTCTGATTGTGATCTTGGTATTTCATGAATTGAAAGTGCCTGGAGAGAAGAAACAAATGTGGCCAAAAAGTTAATTTTGTTGATAATATAATTACTTGGATACATAACTTTGTTGAAATTTTTGCAACAAAACATATTTTTCAGTCATAAGATTAATGACATGTTGTTTTACAGGGTGAAATAACTGCACTGAAAAAGCGTGTCGCAGAGGTGGTGGAGGAAAATAAGATGCTACAGGAGGAGCTGAAGTCTGTCATGTCCCAGAACATCCTAGCAGACAGTGACCAGGAGATTAAGGTAGAAAACGTAAAAACTGCTCACTCCAGGGGTGGATTCAGAGATATTTTCTGACAGTCTTCCAAATTATCTTTGTTGATCCATCCTTCATTTTTCTGTCTTCTGACAGAAATAAGTAGATGTCAGTCAATGTAAAACTTGAAAAATTCTGACCGTCTTCTGGAAGACCCAGAAGATGACCACGATCTGCCCCTACACTCCTTATAAGTAACATCATCCGTGTCACCTCAGAAAATATGTCTCCAGTAAGATGTATATTGTCACAACTAATCTGTGATATCTGGTTTTATTTTTTTTTAACAGATATTTTATACAAAAAAAGAAAAATGCAATTCAGAGTTAATTTATTCAGTATTTAAGGTCTCCTCCCCAGTGGTGCATCACAATAAAATTATTTTAGTTATGAGGCAAGAGGAAAATAATAAATGCATTTTGTATTTAATAACAATGATAAATACAAAGTTTATGTGTATATTAAATGATCAAACAAATTATCTCTTGCATGTGCTATTATCATACATCATTAGGTAATTAGGTTTCCCTATACCATTTAACAAATCAGATATACGAGCAAAAATGTTCAGTAGCTTGGTAGTTGGATCATAGATGAAAATTATCAAACACAAGCTGAGAAATGTTACATACTATTAGCTTATGGCCAACCTGGACGTAGGCCTGCATCACACTCACGTGATTAGATGTTGATTTCAACATCAACATTGATATCAACATCTACTCATGTCAACATCAACATTCATATCACTGATGTGGTTTTCTCTGTATTACAGCAAAGTTGCTAAGATGACTGGAAAATAGAAAAAAACTGTTATCTTTTTGATTAATTGATATTTTTAGGGCCTAATAACAAGTGCAGTCATTTTATGTCTACATTATATGTTACAGTCTTTTTAGCTATTGGGCAGGGAATATCTAAGTATCAGTTCTTATACTTGAAAGCATGACAAAAATAAAGATACAGAATAGAAAGAAAAGAAGCCCATTCCAGTCATTAACAGGACTTGCTGGAATTTCACAAGTTTTCTTCAGTTTCAAAGTCAGCTCCTGATTTTGTTTCTTTAATGTTTCACATTGTTGGGCAAGCTCTTGCACCTCTTTTATCTGGTGTGTAAATCCCTCGTTCAGATCCAGGAGCCTGCACGACGTGTGCTCTTCTCTCCCCGCGCACAGGATGCAGAGACAAATGCCATGATTGAAGCAAAAATAGACAACATTTTCTCGTGGATGAAAGGAGCATTTTGTACCTTGAGGCTGGATATCTTTGGTCTTGTGAGGTACTTTCACATTTAACTTTCTATGTGCTTGCAGATGTAAGGAGCAGAGGAATTTAACAGGTTTACATGTGATGCAGTAACTAGTAGCTGTCACCACTGTTTCATCAGAATCCCAGCAAAAATCACACCTTTGTTCGCTTTTGTTCATTTCTTTCACATAGTCTTGTATTTTAGGTGCTACAAAATAGTTCGGGAAAGCATCTACCCCTTGCCTTGGCAAAGTGGTCTTCTTTCTGCATAATGGGCAGGAAAAACTTTGACCAAATGCTGCCCTTCTCACATGATCCTTCAAACATTTCTTACAAAATGGATGCAGACAGGGCAAACCTACGGGTTCTGTAAATGCTTCTAAGCATATTGAACATGTCAGTAGATCTAGATCTATGTCACCAGAGGTCTGCTCCTTGGGTCTTGCTCCTTTGCTGTGTGCCATCAGTCCTGAAAAAAAATGTGTTCTCTTTCACCATTAAGCAGGTCAGTTGATTGGATGGTAATTGGAAGAATTACTTGGCCCAAAACCCATCATTTATTTATTTATTTATTTATATGTCTGTCAGTTGTTTTTTACAAGCAAGTCTGGTGAGTCAAGCAAGGTGAAGAAGTAAAGATTTTGCAGTGCACCCCCCTCCCTCAGCATTCTCCAAATATCATGGATCCACCAGGAAGACCTGATACTTGAGGAGGAGAAGACTGGAACCTTTCACCAACTGAGAAAACTTTTCTTATATTTACCCACTGCTACTAACTATCATTATATGTACAATTATCCTGACAGTGCTTCAAAGAATTAATTTTCAAACCTTCAAGGTGATGTCATTCTACCTACACAAACAAAGATCTATTTTACTTGAAAGTGTACTCTCCACATGATAATTTAACTCTTTGTTTTTGATATTTTCTGCAGTATAACATGTGATCATTGTCATGTTGTACCTACCTGGATGTGGTCTAACATGGATCAGCAGCAGCCACATTCAAGACCCAGTCAAACCTTATTAAAGTTTGAGTTTTCAAATAAAACAAACAGCCAGTAACTTACTTTCGGTTTAACAGTCAGGTTAAATTTCCACTCTGAAATATAGTTGGTAAACAGTCTGGTGTGAGAATGTCAACTTATCAGTGATAAAACGGATATTTAGTATGCCTCAATATATATATCAGTCTGATAAGACTACAACATATTGCATATGATAAGACTTCAGCATGTTATAGGTAATTTATGGTATATTCAGACTGATTTCAGTGCTATAGGGCAGTCATCCTTTTTTTTCCCCGGGGTTCAGCAGTCATCGCCTGGGAAATAGCAATCAACTCTTGGGGTTTAGGAATCATCCCCTGGGGCTCAGTAACCATCCCCTGGGTTCAGAAATAATCGCCTAGGGTTCAGGAATCATCCCCTTGGGCTCAGGAATCATCCCCTGAGGCTCAGCAGTCATTTGATAAGGCCCAGCAATCATGCAAGCATCAAATGTAATTTTTGTGGTCATAAAATTAAGTATCTGATTGAGTAATTACCATATTTTCTTCTGCAAAGGATATGATCATATGCTGGTTCAAGTTCTTTATATAGGCTTTTTTATTTATGAAAATTATTGAAATATAGACGCTATTTGTTGAAATTAGATTTAACAGTGCATTGCCTTGATATCCTGGTCTGAAATTACAGAGAACTGAATTTGCTGTAAGATATTTTCCATTAAAATATCATAACTTTTCACAAAGTTATTTTTTATGATCATAATATTTTATTGACATAAACAACAATGATTACTACACTTAGCCAGAGGATAATGATTTTGTGGCTACTAAGTATAATTATTTATTTATTTGTGACAGTAGTCAACACATACCAGAGGGCAACACTCACAGTTTATTAACATTGTTTATAAAAGTGATCTCAGTACAGCTTGATCTATGTGAGTTGACTGTAAAGTGGTTGTATTATTATCCAAGACGTTCTTAGTAGATACACCCATATTAGGATGTCAGATAGAACTAATGCTTCTTTGCATGAATGGCTGCAGAATGGCAAAATTGCAGAATAATGTTTTTAAAATGTTCCCAGGTAAAAGCTAGCAATTCAGTAAAGTTATGTAATTAGAATGCTGTCTTCTATGAAACAGTTTGTTTCAGGTGAAAGGTCACATATATATTGCACACTGAAAAGTAAAAAAAATTAATATTAATTTTTTATCACCAAAGCATGATACATATCATAACACAGGTGAGAACAAGTGCAAAGCACATTCCTGCCAGGTTGTCAATGTCTTCCCTGTCCTCAACTTTGTCATACTGTCCAGGTATGCTGAAACAAGTGGACCAAATGTCCCCCCTCTTGGCAAACTGCTCCTGCATGCTGTCTATGACATTCTGAGCGGTCTCCAGTTCTATTTCTTTCACTGCGAGTGCCCGTTTGAAGTCTGTCAGTATGCAGCTCTGATGGTATCCATCGTCTGAGATACACTGCATGCACACGCAGCATTTATGGCGACTGCAATAGGCAACCACATGGTCTTGACGGTGGTCTTCACATGCGATGTAAAATGCATCAGCGTCAAGATTCTCCTCGTCACTGGAAATGTCAATTTCGTTAGTTATTACGTTATCTGCCCATTGTTGTTGTTGTTGTTGTTGTTCTTGAATTATTTGCTGTAAAGGTTGTTGTTGTTGGTGGCAGCCATGTTGTCTATATCTTTTGTAAGGCCCAGTGACCATATCCCCAGTGGCAGTTGCTTGAGTTGTGTATAAACTCATAGCTATCCTATGCAGCATCAGTTAAACCTTGTTTATTAATAACTAGTTGCTTAAGAACTTGATATATTTACCTGAGCTATTTACTTTGAAAAATTCTAATTATGATGGATTATGAGGTTTGATATATTTCTGTTCATTTCAATGTTCCAGAGTCAATGTACCTTTACAGTAACATTAACGTGCATGCTATCAATTCTTTTACTCCTGACCATCTTTGATACTTTTCATAACTGTTTTTGTCCTATCTTTTGATGCACTTCCAAGATTTTTCTTGATTAGAAATCATCATTTTATACATGGTTTAATAAACAAAGTGTACATAAGTCTGATAGTCTCCAGGATTCCTTAAATTTTCTAGATAATCCTAATTCTCAACAGTTATTTATCCAGAATAGGTGTTATAATGTCCATGTCCAGAATTGAAAGGTTCCAGCAATCCCTGTGATACACTGCCTTGTCCTAGAACTATCAGAATAAAGTCCTTAAATTCATTCTGTATTTTAACTGTGATAGATAGTAGTATTTGTAGGTAGCCACCACAACTGAAGCAGCTGTTCAAATGCAGCATTGGCACTGTATGTGCTGCAGATGTAGCTGTATTATGCTGATGAATACTTTATACTGTATAGGGGCTGGTTCCTATTATTTCAACTTGCTCATTATAGCCAGCGTAATGTTAATTTATACAAGTGACAGGTGGATTTTAGTGTATGAGTACCAATTAAAAATATATGTAAAGTGTAATTTTAGGTTGCATTTATTATTGCCTATATGCTGTGTTAGTTTTGTTTGTTTGTTTGTCTGTTTGAAATATTTTTTAAGGTAGCGTGTCAATTTATTTTTTAATTTATTTTATTTTATTATTTTTTAAAAATAATCATTACCTATTTGTTATTAATCTATGTTAGTTTGTTTTTATATATATCTATTTACTATAAGTGTATGGAGATTCCATCCTATATTTATATCAGTTAAAGGCTTCACTCCAGATTTCTTATGTGTGAGAACCATGGAACAATAGGGAGAGTAATGGAGACTAGGATATTCATACTGATGGGAAATCTGTCATTATGCTCAAGATGTCATGATTTATACTTATTTAGGGAAGCAAGAGCAGACAAGACAATGAAGACAGAATGTCACGGCTGGATTACAAGAGATGGAAAAAAGAACTGGTAAGCAACTGGTGTGTGTGTGTGTGTGTGTGCGTATGCGTGTGTGTGTGTGTGTGTCCACCACCTGGACATTTTTTAGTGTCTGTCTGAATATTGACTCTAGTCAGAATATATTGTAATTATTATACCATATATCCTGTATTGTGACAGAGATTATACTGGTAGGAAAGGTTACCTAAGGGTGATATGTACACATTATTTTGTATATTGCCAATAAGGAAATGACAGGCTTTGGTATAACATAAGGTTTATGCGTTGTTGGAATTGTGGAACAGATGTAAGTTTTGCAATAATGACTGTCACAATTATTTTATATTGATAGTGTGCAATTATCTGCAATTACTTGCAACATTTTAACTATAATTAATAAGCTAGAAGAAAAGGATGTTTAAACAAGGCAATTCATGTAAATGATTTTAAAAAATACTTGTCTTTCAGGAACGAATAAGTGACCTCCATTCTGCCAAAAGTAGGCGTCTGGAAGCCCAGCTAGCAAATGCTAGGTAAGCTGTCATGTTCTTGTCTGGAGTACATGTAAAGTACCTATCAGTAAAGTATCAGGGTATTATGCATCAAATTTTTTTTTTAGTGAATGAAAATAAGAATGACTGCCTAATGCAAAATGTGCTTAATACAAATACAGTACCCTTTATTTTATATGTATTGTCTCACATAATTTAAAGTCAGAAAAGATGAGAAAAGCAACAAGAAAGGGAAATGTTGCTGTAGTACTTATGCAACCGTTGTTACAAGCCTACTGGTATTTTGTCGGTAAGGGTTTGCATAATGCTGTTTATCGTCATGTAGTTTATCAGCATATTTTGTATTTAACTTCCAGAGAAGAAGCAGAGCAGAACGAGAAGGTGGTGGAGGAGCTTCAGGGAAAACTAAGATTACTAGAATCCCTCAACAAGTTAGGAAGGGCTGATACAGGCCAGGAACCAGGGTTGTGCATCCAGTGTGCCCAAAATGAGGCTATGGTGTCTTCTGTGATTGGAGGAAGGAATACTCAAGTGATCGAAAACCTAACAAAGTAAATGCCTTTCAAAGAACTGTGCTTCGCTCTTGGAAAAACTGAATCTAAGCAGTAAAATTTTTGGATTTTGTCCAAAAAGATGCCTGCAAATCTTGCTTAAAAAGGATGCCAGCCATGTGTTTTTTTGTTTGTTCCTTTGTTTTTGTTTTTCAACAAACTAGATATTTTCTTTTTTAGTTTATTTCAGCTATTTGCACTAGTGAATGTAAACATTGGATGCCTCAACATGTTAACACAGTGACATTTTATACCTGAAGTAATCTTATTTTGATTACGTTTTTTTCTTTTCTTTGTTACACTGTAGTAACAGCTCACCTTTCATGTTCACCGCCAATCAGGTTCCACACTGTATGACCACAGATAAAGTATTCTATATGTGGTTCAAGCTCACTGTGTCATGTAAGGTCTCATCACTTGGTGAGGTAGTGTGGACGAGTTGTGGACGTGTATTTTGCTACTAGGCAGCACACAGATGATTTATGCTTTCAAAAAATAGATCTTTGTGATGCATTAATCAATCATCTTTCATAAGGTGTGTGTGAGAGTTATCTTTCAGCATTTCTCAGCTTTGAACCCTAATAAGCCTTACCATCTGGTTGTCATCATCTAGATTGACTCACCCCTTCATGGAGATATGTTTTAGGACAAAATGTTTAAATTGGCTTCTGGATTTTCTCCAGAGAAAGAGATGGGTTGATAGAGACAGTCGCTAGTTTCAAGTCAAAACTGGAGGATCAGAAGCAGCGGGAAGAGGAGGCATATGCTCAGTTGAAGAAGAGTGCAGAGTTGGTTGAACAGGCTCAGTTTGATAAAATGCAGGTAAATTGAATGGAATTGCCATAGTGTGTGTATGTGTTTTAAGTGGAGTCAATGAAATACCATAGTCCATGGGCCAAATACCGAAACCCTCCCCCCCCTTAGTGATTTTCGTTCACTATGTTTTTCTGATAGCTTAGGTCCTTAGCTTTTATTTTCTGCTTGTTTGCCATTAAACTGGTGGTGGGTGTGTGTGCTACAGCCGTTGCCATGGTAACACACGGGTTAAAAATTGACATTTCTGAGCCCAACAAAATCTAAAATATTTCAAATACATAAACTAAATAGAATTCAAAATCGTTCTAGACATGTAGTCTAAGATGTGCACTATACCTAACGATGAACAAAATTTTCCAAGATGGCGGCACATCCAAGATGGCGGCCAATTTTTGCTGTTTTTTCAGAAATTTTGATAATTTTTAATTTTTTAATTCTTATTTAATTATTAAAGAATTGCAATATCTGGGATATTTTGATGCACCAGTGTAGCATGGAATCTCTACTTTCGATCTGTAGTGTTTGTTCAAGGTGCAATCTTTTTATTGAGATGAAAAATCCTGAAATCCAACATGGCTGCCACAAAACAAGTCTTTTACATGTAGCTGTCCTGTCTGGAAATATGACAGATTTATCATCCCAAATTAAGTTCTTCATTACTTTTGGTGCACTGATTATAAAAACAGAACCCTTTTCAATTACTTGACTTAATTTGGATTACAGTATGGCTTTCAAAATTCAAAATGGCCGCCAATGACCGTGAATTTACATCTTTGTAACCAGTAGACTAAAATACGCCAGCAATATTCCTAATTTTATCTTAAGTTTGGATGAATACTTGTTTTAATAGTGCTGATCACTACTAGATGTGTGGTCATGTAAAATGATTNCTATTGAACTTGAATAGGAAGTCATATACTGGCAATCTAAATGTGACCTTAAAATTGACCTTTGACCTACTTTTCACCATAAACTGAACTTTGCAAATTTTGCTTCCCTTTTATCTCCAAAACTGGCAGAGATAGGTCCATAGTTACTATTGAACTTGAATAGGAAGTCATATACTGGCAATCTAAATGTGACCTTAAAATTGACCTTTGACCTACTTTTCACCATGAACTGAACTTTGCAAATTTTGCTTTCCTTTTATCTCCAAAACTGGCTGAGATAGGTCCGTAGTTACTATTGAATTGAATAGAAAGTCCTATACTGGCAATCTAAGTGTGACCTTGAAATTGACCTTTGACCTACTTTTTATCATGAAGTGAACTCTGCTAATTTCTTTCTCTTTTAACTTCAAACTTGACAGAGATAGGTCCATAGTTACTCTTGAACTTGAATAGGAAGTCATATACTGGCAATTTACTGTGACCTTGAAATTGACCCTTGACCTATCTTACAAAGAACTTAAATTTGATTGTACCATATATATTTTTTGCAATAGTTTAAAAATTCTTGTTGATTGCATTTTTACAGCTTGTCAAGCACAAAACTGGTGGCTGTGTCCCTTATTTTGTGTTTGGGGGGTCTATACGAATGCGCTTGCTCCAGCTGGTGGTACAAAATTCGGAGGCGGTATCGCCTCTCTGATCCTCTAGTTTCTAATGTAATGAGATGCTGTGATATATATAAGTTGACATTTGTTTTGCTGCAGCTGAAGGAACTGACTGATCTCCATGGTACTGTTCAACACCAGTTAGACCGCGTGACACGGGAGAAAGTGACCATACAAGCTGAGTTAGAGAGAACAAGGACACAAGTGACGGAATTTGATACTGACTATACAAAGGTACTGTGTGTGTGTGTGTGTGTTAGAATATATTTGTGTATTATCAAGTATCTTTGTATTCTCATGATAGTAGAAAAATGGATCATTTTTCACTTATGTATGATAAATTTTTTTTTTTTTTTTTTTTTTTTTTGACAACAAAGTGATTTCTATACCAAGCAGAAAAGGTGATTTCTATTAATGGCTATGAAACCTTACTAAGATTAATGAAGATAAACCAGTATTTATGCACTAGGTTAGTTATTTTTGTCAGACATTTGTGAGTGTGCATGTTTCAGTCTGTTTTGTCTCATTCCCAGGCTACAGAGGAACTGAAGTCTCAGCTGGTCCAGGCCAACATAGAGAGGAACGCTGCCGTGAAGGAAATGAACAGAATACGCACTGAAGTTGACAAGACAAACAGAGACAATGAAATGGTGGGGCTCTCTCTCTCTGTCTTTCTCTCTCTCTCTCTCACACACACACACACACACACACACACACACACCAGATTCACATATCAGTATGCCTTAAAGCTAAGAAGCACGTATGTACATGTGTTTATGACTTATACCTTATAACCACTCACACATATGCACACATCAGTGGCGTTTAATACCTTCTGAAACATGTTTCACATGGGTATTTATTTTCTAGGAAAAGTCAAGATTGAAGGAAAACCTGGAGGATGTCAGGAGGCGGCTGATGCAGGCAGAAAGAGAATTAATGAGTGCTAAGGAAGAGTGCATCACACTGGCTACAGACATGCAGGCCATAGAAAAAGATGTAAGGGAAGCAGGGCATTGTTCAGCAATCTACAGCTACTCATCTCATATTTTGTCGGTGGTTTCACTTAATGAATGAATAGATTTTTTAATGGAATAAGCCGAAAAATTTTTCTGCGTGGAAACTCTTCCATTTATGTTCTCAAAGTTAAGAAAAAACAAACTTTTAAGCAGCTTCTAATAGCTCTCTCCTTATTCAGGCTCAGCTGTGTAAGATGGCCAAAGAGAGCATGGAGAAAGGCAGGAGAGAGGAGCTGTACACAGTCACTAAGAGAGCACAGCAGAGGGAGGTGGAGCTGAACTCACTGATTGAAGAAATAGAGGCTAGGCATGGTAGAGACGCTTTTTTTTCACCAGACTGAAAGATTACAATATCAATTATTACCAAAGACATCCTGTCACAGATTGGTTACAGTTTGTTTTGAATTAAATGTAATAAATGAAATAAATTGTGTAAAGTGAGAAAAGGGGAATTATTTACCATTTCTGCACATCTTGCTTGTAAATGAAACTTAACCAAGAAGTAAGACATACGATTTATAGATAATTTATTAAAGCACCTGTACTTGCTTTTACAAAACCTCTATCCATTCTCTGTTTTCTATTTCACCTAGCTCTGGCCAGTGCTGAGACAGATGACATGCTGCAACAGCAGAATGGTTTGATTGGCAAACTCAGGGAGGAATGTCGGACATTGGCTACCCAACTGGAGCAGACTGCGCAGAAATACAGGTATCTTTTTTTATCTCTTCATTGAGTAACATGATTGCTATGTCTGTCTCTACCTGGGAATGCATAAACTGTCCCTTTTGAGGCATTTTGGAACTTTTGCTTGTCAAAACCAGTACAGTTTTGCATTTCATCTTGTCTTGGGAGTTTTAATAGATGTCTGCTGAAATATGTCAAAACAAATTGCAAAGAAATTTCCCTTACTGAATATAGTAGTTAGGAATAATATCCAACAAGAAAAACATTTTCTGTCTACTCTTAATTCTTTTAAATCAATAAAGAGCACAATCATAAGGAACACAATCATTTAATTTGACAAATTTTAATATTTTACTTAAAATTACTATAACATGACATATATAAAATTCTGTGTTCAGAGGTGAAGTGAGACAGGTTAAAAACCTGAATGAAGAGCTATCCGTAAGATTAGAGAAAACGCTGAACAGATTGAAAGAGATGGAGGCACAGCACGTGCAGCATGGCCGAATGCATGACAAAATGCGACAACGGCTTGCACAGATGGACGAACACGCCCAGTATCAGGGACAGCAGGTAAAACTGATATCTGGATTTTTTTTCTGTGATTTTTTTCCACCCTATACACAATTCAGTCAGATACTTGTTTTTTTTTTGTTTTTTTTTTATAACTTCCAAATTTCAGAGACTCTAGCTATAACAAAATAATTAAAATTACAAAAAAGGAAAGTAATTAACAAAGTGGCACTAGGGTGAATTAAAATTTTTCTTTGTTTTGGCACTATCTAATTGCTTCTCACCTACAGCAGGCGGGAAATTAAACAAAACTGTAATTGCTGTGATATCTGATATGGAGGTAATATAAATCAGACCAAGATATTTACAAAGGTTGTATTATGCTAGAATGTTCATGTGTTCAAATAAATTTAAAGAGCATAGCAATCTTGAATAATAAACTTTTTTGTTTCTATCTTATTCATTTAATACCAGTCAAATCTGGTCTATGCATCTATCAAATTTTACTTTGAAAGCTGATTCTATATGATGTGGTATGCTGATGGTGAAGTTTGGCTCACCAAATTATGTAAAAGTATTGCATTCAAAAATAATATTTCACTGACATCACAAATGCCATTTCAGATTAATAACAAACAAGTAATCCCCCCCCTCCCCTGATTATAATCATTTCTACTTGTCCACAAAGAGTGATATTTCAATAAAACTGCCATTATGTTTCTTCTTCCTCTTCTACACTGTCTTCATCTTCATCCTCCTGTGGAATGTTAATCACCTTTACTCCATGGTTGGTACTGTACACCCCACCATACGATATCACAATGTTTTCCTCGCGGGTCACACACACTCCTCGCGGGGACTCCATAACGGCCAGGACTTGCACAAACTGTCCCGTTTTAGTGAAGAGCTTGACCTTGTTGTTTCCGGTGTCACTTACTATCACCATGTCTCTGTACATACACACCCCTCCAGGTCTATAAAGCTCACTGTCTGGCTTTGTACTCTGATTGGTCAGAAGACTCCCCTCACCCTCTGCTGAGCTGCCATTGCTGCTGGAATTCGAGTCAAGTTTTCTCTGGCTGTTTAGAATGTTTCCAAAAGGCTTGCCAATCTTTCCCAGGAAGTCCCCACTAAAAGTGAACATCTTGACGCAGTTATTTAAACTGTCTGAAATGTACAGCGCCTCCTTGTCTGTCGATAGATACAATGGCATATCAAACTGGGCGTCGCCATTACCGTAAGAGCCAAAGGTGCGTACCAGGTTACCATATTTGTCAAAGAAAAACAGACAGTTCTTGTCCAGGTCAGAGACTATGATTTGTTGGTGCTTGGTTACTGCCAAACCAGATGGGGATACTAGTCTGGCTTTCTGGTCAAGAACCACAGTTTTCCTGGAAAATAACAATAATACGAGTTTTAAATATATTATCACTTAAGTCTGCTGCAAATGACGCCAAAATCTTAGGTCAGTTTTTAAATGTTTTAAACAGCATTTGTGCAAAAAGCACTATGAGATATCGGAGAAACAGTTTTCCTGAAAAATAATTATAATACTTGTTTTGAATATATTAATGCTAATGCCAGTTCAAATGATGCCACAATCTTAAGTCTATTCATTTCAAATGTTTGAATGTTGATAACAGCACTTGTACAACAATCAATATGAGACAATGAGATATTTTATGAATATTTTTCATATACAAATCATTTAAATACAAAGATAACTAGAGGATCAGAGAGGCGATACCGCCTCCAGATATTGTACCACCAGCTGGAGTAAGCGCGATCGTATAGACCCCCCCACACACAAAAAAGGGACACCAACACCAGTCTTGTGCTTGACAAGTTGTAAAAAATGCAATCAACAAGAATTCTCAAAATATGCAAAAAATATATATAACTAAAAATGGTACAATCAAAGTTCAGTTCATAGTAAGGTAGGTAAAAGATCAATTTCAAGGTCACAGTAAATTTCCAGTATATGACTTCCAATTCAAGTTCAATAGCAACTATGGACCTATCTCTGCCAGTTTTGGAGATAAAAGGGAACCAAAATTTGTAAACTTCAATTCATGATAAAAAGTAGTTCAAAGGTCAATTTCAAGGTCACACTTAGATTGCCAATATATGACTTCCTATTCAACTTCAATAGTAACCATGGACCTATCTATGCCAGTTTTGAAAATAAAAGCATTAAAAAGTTGCAAAGTTCAGTTTATGGTGTAAAGTAGGTCAAAGGTAAATTTCAAGGTCACATTTAGATTGCCAGTATATGACTTCCTATT